CTGGTCTGCAGGAACCTCACAGAATGTGTCTCCCCCCCCCCCCCCCCGCTACCGCTAGGGATGGAGCTCTCTTTTCCCTGTCCACCCCTCTCCCATATCTCCACACACTTTTGGCTGCCTGCTGGCTGGAGAAGGATGTGTGGGGTTTCTTAGAAGACGGGACAGGACAAAATGAGCCCCTTTGTGCCAGAGCTGCTGGGCAGGCCAAGATAAAGACCCAGACTCTTTTCTACTGCAATTTAAAAAGTTTTAATTACATCTAGCCCAAGGATAGAAAGAGCAAAATGACAACAGTAATAAAAGAAGTCAAAGTTCGAATCCTAGCTCTGCCACTTATTTGCTCTATGACCCTGAGCCAGTTACTTAACCTCTCTGTGCCTTGGTTTTCTCTTTCTTGAGTGAAAGTTTAATGAGTTGATCTGTGTGAGGCACTCGGCACGGTACCCCAGCACATAGAAAGGGCCCCAGAAGCGTGGTGACCATGCTGTATTTCCTAGGGGCACACATGGATTCATTCACCATTCAGCAAAATTGGTTTACCAAGTGTACGTCTTCTGCGCTGGGGGATTGGACAGTGAGCGAAGCGGACGTTTCCCCTCGCAGGGAGCTGACATTCTGGCGGGCGACACGGTCAACACAGAAACTGTGAACGGTGAAAATACGGTTTGTCAGATGGTGACAAGTGCTACGGAGAAAAACATCTCAACAGGGGAAGGCAAACGGGAGAGGGACGGTTGGGGGAGCCAGTGTGGGGCTTTCTGAGGGGAGGAGAGGAGGCAAGTGCAAAGGCCCTGAGGTGGCAGAGGGCCCGGGAGGCTGGAGGGAGTGAGGGCATGGGGGAGGGCCTGAGGCAGAGGTGCCGGGGGCCCGACGGAGTCAGCACCTGTGGGCCAAGGAGAGGACTCTGGCTTTTCCTATGATTGAGATTGGAGCATGTGCACATGTAGATATAGATGTTTATTTTTTAATTGAGACAGATATAAACTGAGCTCTTCACAGCACCTCACTGAGTACAGTAAAGGCACTGGGATAAAGTGTTAATCACATGTCAGTTTGGCTCAGGGTGTGATCCCAGGGTCCTGGGATCAAGTCCCCCACTTGTGCTATCTCTGTCGCTATCTCTGTCTCTCAAATAAATAAATTAAAATCTTAAAAAAAAATCACATGTCAAATGAGCCTCACATGTAATCTTTTCTCTTGCTTTTTAATTAAAGAATAAACTCCCATAACATGTGACACTGACAATTTGAAAGCAAAGAGGAGCAGGAAGGACCCGGATCCCCGCCTGGCAGAGTACCCCCATCCCAGCCCAAGGGACACCCATGGGTAGCTGCCGGGGTCCCTAACGGGGCCCAGATGTGCCCAGAGGTGGCCCTGGCCCCAGCCCTGCCTGCCTGGATACTATGTGGCCATCGGTTTATTTCCTGGACTCGTTTTAAAGAAGAGCCCCAGGGAGGATCAAATGGCCCCACCAGCCCCAGCTGCTTCCCACCTGATCTATGGCCACCCCGCAGCTCGGAGCTGCGGCCCAGACAGAGGGGGCAAGTTCTGCCCTACAGGAGAGAGCCGACCAGTAAAAATAGAAGAGCTAGAAAATCACCACTCGGCAGCCACCACAGTAATAATTGATTTAGGCAAAAATCGCCAGTGAGGGTTAAGAGCTATGGGTGGAAGTTTGAGGAGTAACAGGATATTCACATGGTCTCGGAATGTCTCCCCGCAAGATACGGATTAAGTACAAAAGGGGAAAAAGAGGAACTTGATCCCGGTGAAACCTGGCAGACACCTCCTTAACCAAGTGGCCCAAGTTGACGTCTCCAGTGATGGGGTAAGCGGACCTCATGGGCCTCAGGATACCTTGTACTGAGAAAGACACAACGCCATGTCTGTGGTTCTGCCAAGAACGCACCACCCAAACGTAACAACGAGGATCAGGAAAGTCTAAATTGGGGGACATTCTACAAAACACCTGACCTGAATGCTTCGAGAATGTCGAAACCATGAAAGACCAGGAAAAGAGCTCTCTCCGAATAAAGGAGAATTAAGGAGATGGGACAAGTGTGTGACCCAGGATCTCGCTCCACACCTGACGTGCTGTGGGGGACGTCCCTGGGACAGTTGCAGAAACTTGATGATGTCTGTGCATTAGATGATAGTTTTGCACCAATGCTTGATTTCCTGATTTCCGCCACTGGACTATGGTTATAGGAGAGAATGTTCTCATCCTTAAAAATCCATGCTTAAATGTTTAACAGTGGAGGGGGCATCATATCTACAACTTACTCTCAAATAACTCCGAAGTAAACAATGTGTGGGTATGTGTATATGTGCACAGAAAGAGAAGATGCAAGCAGGAGAGGTGTTCCATATTTTGAAGAATCTGAATGAAAGATCCTGGTGTGTTGTGCTTTTCTTCCAATTTTTCTGTCAGGTTAAATTATTTCAAAATAAAACATGTTTTATAAATCTAAAAAGCTGGGGTGCCTTGCTGGCTCAGTCCATAGAGCATACAACGCTTGATCTCCGGGTTGTGGGTTTGAGCCCCATGTTGGGTGTAGAGATTACTTTTTTAAAAAAAGAAGTCGTTAAAATAATAATAATTTTAAAAATCTAAAAAACCGTCTCCCTGCTTCTTCCCTCTCGTCTCGGCAGCCCCATTCCACCTCCTTGGCTCCCCAGAGAAATGCTTTAATATTTTATTGTAAATCCTTCCAGGGTTTCCATATGCAAATACAAACAGGAATGAAGAACATGCTTATTTCCACCCCCTCTTCTTCCCACAAAAGGAAGCATGTACTGCAGTTTATTTTTTTCACTTAGCAATGTGGCTAAGTCGGGACTGTTCCATATCAGGACTCAGGGACCCTCCTCATTCCTTTTATCCCTACCCCCACCTCGGCCCTTGGGGGCCAACATCCCTTTTTCATAACCCCAAATAACCCTCACCCAGTAAGCGCTCAGGTGTGCACCCCGGCCACCCTGCTTCTTGAATGAGTCTTCGCCCTGCAGTCTCCATCACCCTGGGCCAGGCCAGCACCGTCTCTGCGCAGGACCTCCGGACTCCCGGCTCTTTCTCTCCTGCCCTGACTCCGCTGTGCTCTCCACCAGGAGCCAGGGCACCCTGTATGCTAGTGGAGCGGGCTTCCTCACTCCCCTGCTTAGGTGCCCGTGGCTGCTGGAGGCTGGACTAAAATCCCGACTCCTCACGCCGCACACTCCCCTCTGCAGGATGTGGGCGCCTCACCGATCCCACCCTGTCCCCCTACCCTCCACCTGCCCTGGTCTTTCTCTGCAGAGAACAAGTGCATTCCAGCCTCCAAGTCTTTTCATTCGATGCTCCCTCGGCGCCTGGAACTTTCTCCTCCTTCAGGTCTCAACTGGAATGTCAGCGCAGCCAGGGCTCTGGTGCTCCTGCCTGCCTTATCCTGCGAGCCATGGCTCCCTCTAATTCCATCTTGGCACCGTCACTGTAGGAAAGCAGCTTGTTTATTTAGTCACTCGTTTGTCTTCTATCTCCCTCTCTAGAAGCGAAGCTCCGTGAGTGCAGGGAGGGCTACCTGTTCACCGCTGTGCCCGGGGCCTAGAACAGGGCCTGGCACACGTGGTGCTCATCAAGACCGACCGGAAGGCCTCTTTCCAGTCTCTGGGGAGGAGGGCAGGGCCATCACGGCCCCCATTATATAGAGGCAGAAACCGGGGGTCCCAGCGGGGAAGAGCCTTGTTCTAGGCCCTGACAGGGGCACGATCCAGGCATCCCTGACTCCCAGGAGGATCAGAGCCTGGTACACCTCATTTTAGATGCCGGGGAGGGGTTTCCACGAGGCCTGTCCCCCCCCAGGAGTGTGTGAGCTCACTTACTCCCTCACCACTGGTGTCAGCACCTACTGTGGGGTGTCTGTACATGACAGTCCACGGACGGCGGGCACAGTAGGCCTTCAGCAAATGGGTGCCCAACCCCCAACCCCCGCAACTCCCTAACTTCCCTTCAGGGAGGCCAGCTACAATTTGGCGATTGTTAGAGAACTTTTTTTTTTCTTTTGGGAGGAAAGCTGCAAGTCATTAAGGGCTGCTCCCGGCCTGTGGGTCACCATTTCCTGTTTAGAAGAAAGAATCATCTCTCCTTTGGAACACGAAGCTCCCCCCACCCCCGGCCTGACTCTGGGGCTCTGGAGCTCTGGGACGCCTGCTCAGCTCCCTGCAGGAAACTGGCACCTTCAGCACCTTTTGTGCTCAAAAAGGACACTCATTTTCTCCTGGCCCCAGGAGGGCCCCAGAGGTGAGGTCATCATGAGAGCCAGCCAGGAGTGAATTATCCCAGCCCGGGACACACTGACCGTCTTCCCGTCCTGTCCTCGAGCAGGAAGCTGAATGACCCCTACCCTTTGGCCTGCCTTCTCACCCTCTCGGCTCCAGCCAGCCAATTTCCTTGCATCAAAGGCCATTTGGTACCCAGCAGCCAGACAAGAGGTGTGGGTCCGACAGGGAGGCCGGAGTGGGGCCCAGTGCCCTTGGAAGCAGGAAGGACATCCTCTGTCCCCTTCTTGCTCACTGCACTCCACTCCCTCATCTCAGAGAAGCTGTCAACCCCTCCCCAGAAGACCTGCGCTGCTGGGGCAAAGCCCAGCAGCCTGTCTAGTTGATAAGAACCAGGGAGCTGGCTTCTCACCCTATGGGCCTGGTCAGCCTCAACATGGAAGGATGAAAGAATAAATCAGGGTCACAATGTAAAGTGCAAGGAACCTGCACACAGCCCCCTACTGCTCACTGGTCCACAGGTGTTTCCCACCCTCCACATCAGACAGGACACCCAGGCTCAGAGAAAACCCATTTGCACAAATAAGGTCCCTGACAGTCCAAGTCAGTGGTCCAAAGCCACGTGATGTTTAAGAGGACAGGATTTAAGCCCGAGTCAGGAATATCTGAGCTCCATGAATCCCTGCCCCCTTCTCCCTTCCCGAAGGCCCTTTAAAACACTCACCCCTCTATAAAGCTAAATAGACTTTTTTAATACATAAATTAACCACTTTATTGAATATCAATAAACTGTACATATAACTATACAAAACGTTTCCTTAGTACAAAATGTTGCTTGCAATATAAATACCAGTGTACCTTTAAAAATGTAAACATCTTCCTCCTGGGTCCACCTGTCAGACCCCAAAAATAGTTCTGGGAGACACATCGGTCGGGCTGAAGCACCCCACTCAGGCCCCCAACAAGTGACAGCAATTACTCACAGTCCCTTTTGGGACTGTTGTTAAATTGCCCATGAGACAGTGCCACCATGACAAAATAGGAGGCCGAGATAGCTGCCCAGGCCCAGGGGCAACCTGGGGTCTAGACACGTCCTTGTGTCAGTGGCCCACCACAGGCCCCCCGGGCTGAACCTGGAGGTGGATTACTGCATAGTTAGTCACACCTCCTGGAGGGGTGGCCTGAGGGTTCCGGTGGGGGAGGAATGGGTTCCCCTGAGTGCGGGGGAGCTTCCTATCAGTCTGTCGGCTTTGTCCTGGAGCTCAAAGCAGCTGTATCCAAACACCTTTGGATACACAAACCCACACAGAGAGGCTGACTCCAGAACACTCAGCTGCAAGCCACCCTCCCTATCAGCCATCCACAGAAATATCCACGGAAAGGCCTCTCTCTCTCAGAGCCTACTGAGGCACCTAGGGCAGAGAGAACTGGAAAATGGTCCTCAGAGTCCTGTGGAGCCAACGCAGCCAAACAGGGGAGCTCAGAAGGGAATTCCGTGGCAGTGAGAAGGATGGGGGCACCTTCCTTCTGGAGTTGGGGAGGCTGCAGTGGAGGGGGGGGTCTGGAGAGGCAGAAGAAGCCTTGAGGGTCAGCGGGGGCCCCCTGAGCAGCCTGACTCTTGGTGTTTGTGCAGCAGGGACATGCGGGAGAAGGTTCGGGAGCAGGTCTTGCACTGATACTTCTTGACATCTGAGTGGGTCTGTAGGTGGGCCCGAAGGTTGGAGCGGTCAGCAAAGGCACGGCTGCAGTGGGAGCAGGAAAAGGGTTTCTCGCCTGGGGACAGAAAACAAGAGTTGAGCGCTAAAACCACTTGGGATAACAACTGACATTTATTTATTGAAATCCCTGCCCACCCACTGGGGCCTTTAGAGCCCAGATCACCCCACCGCTGAAGGAATCCCATGACCCAAGGACCCAGACCATATCTAGTGTCCAAAGGCCTGGATATGATTGGGAGCTCTGCCACTTCCCACCATGTGACCTGGAGCAAGTCATCTGGCTTCTCTAAGCCTCCAGTTGCTCATCTGTAAAATGGAGCTGTTCATCCCCACCCCCATAAGGGTTGGTAAACCAGAGATGGTAAATAAAGCACTTATCCAGGCAAGCCAGCTGAGACAATGATGGCAACTGAACACTTTGTGCCAGAGACAGTGAGGAGCATCATACGCTTATCTCACTTAATCCTACCCTTGTCCTCAGTTTAGAGATGGTGAAACGGAGGCACAGAGGAGCCAAGTAGCATACGCAGGGTCACGCAGCAAGAACCAAGCAGCCTGACTCCAGAGCCTGTGATTTTAACCACCACTCAGATGGCCTCTCACTTAAGGGGGCTGTAGTGGGTGTTCCTCATTATCACTTCTGGATTTACTTCATCTTTGGACAAAGCTTGAGTCAGCCTTAAAGGCTCCCTGCCACACCCCTCCCCCCAGCAGGTTAGGCCACTTCTCTGAGCCGCCTCCCCATCACAAAACTGACCACGTTTGGTAATTTCAAATCTTGTCTGTCTCCCAATCAGACTGAGTCCCATGAGAGCAGGGGCCTCCCCTGAATTCACTCCAAGGGCTCAGGCCTGGGACCCCCCAAGAGGCTACAGAAACTTTTTATCTTTTTTTTTTTTGAGAGAGAGAATGAGAGAGAGAGAGAGCATGAGAGGGGGGAGGGTCAGAGGGAGAAGCAGACTCCCTGCCGAGCAGGGAGCCCGATGCGGGACTCGATCCCGGGACTCCAGGATCATGACCCGAGCCGAAGGCAGTCGCTTAACCAACTGAGCCACCCAGGCGCCCGAAATTTTTTATCTTATGACTTGATTAAAACCCTTTCCCACTTGTGGCCCTCACACCACTGCCTGGTGAAGGCTGTGCTGAAGAAGAGTTATGCACATAGAGCTACGTACACAGTCAAGTGCTCAGTAAGTGCTTATACAATAGATTGTCTTTTTTTAAAGCCTCAGAGGAGCCTGACCCCTCAATCACCATCAGGTAATGCTGTTCACCAACTTTTCATAATTCCTGCCCCAACTAAGACGATAAAGTTCACAAAAATTGACAATGTTGTGTTTTGTTTTTTCTTTCTTGGGAGTGCAGCATTTCATAAATAAAAAGTGTGAAAAATAACTCATTAAACAAGTACTTATCAAGCTTCCAATCTGTGCCAGGCAATAATGCTGAACATTCTCTACTAAAAAAGGAGAATTCTACCCTCTCTTTGTGCACACATAGTCCTGATTTTAAAGGGACTGGTTCCCAGCATTATATGCCCCTAGGCCATGGCCCATTTGTTAAATCCCAGGGATGGAATTCAAGAGCAGGGAATGAATGAATTCCAGCCACCTTCTGGGTGCCTGGGGCACTGTGCTGGGCACTGGGAGGGAGGGGTCTAGAAGTCAGATGCCTGAGGCTGCCTACAGAGCCATCCATTCAAGGGCTCAGTCTCCTGGGTCAGATATACAAGGAAACCGGCCACAGAGAAGGGGGGGAACTTAGCAGGAGGACTAGGGAAGGGATGCCTGAGTTAATTGGCTGTCATTATTGAGCACCCTCTGCATACTAGGCCTGAAGGGTCTGAGGACCGCACTACAAGGTCCAAGTGAAGTTCTTCCTCCTTCACATGCTCCCTTATGAACTAAGGGCTTACTGTATGCAGATATGGGTAAGGGCAAGGAGTCCTATTTTCCCCAGGGTGCAGAAAGCCACTTCCCGCTCACCTCCTTGGCAGAGGTGAAGGAGCCCTGGCTCAGTCTTATGAGCTGTGACTTGGGAAAGTGATTTCCTTCTGTGCCTCAGTTTCCTGATCTGTAAGGTGGGGGTTGCGACAGCACCTCCCTCCTAAGGTTGTTGATTTATTGCATTAACCCAGGTGAAGGAAGTCATGGGCAATGCCCCTCCCATACAGCAAGTGCTCAGTGAATGTTACCTTTGTCATGTATGACCAGACATGAAACGTGAACAAAGGAGGAAGGAGGCCTTATAGGATGTGATTGGGTGGAGGTCTGTGTGTGCAAGCAGCAGGCACAGACCTGCACCCCTTGCAGATCCTCCATCCCCACAGACGTCTTTATGGTGTTCCTGGCGAGTGTGAAATCGGCACCAGGCCGGCGGGGACAAAGGCCGCCGAGGGGGGGCACTGTACATGCGATACTCCCCGGATTAAAGGGGCCTGACACGCTGTGGGCCAGCAGCTGCGGCCCGGAACAGGTGCTGGGCACCACTGGCCCATGCACCTGCTCCACCCCCCCAGCCCCCACCCACTGGGCCCACCATTAAGGCACACAATGGGAGTCAATGAGGATGGTGATGATGCATTTCAACAGGCTTTTTGTGTCCCAGCCGTGCCTTTACATGAAAATGTCCTGATGGGTGGGGAGAGAAGCTGGGGGGCTCAGGGGAGCACCCCAAGGGTTCTGACTCCTCCAAATAGAGCCCTCTTCAGCTGGGCAATTGCCCAGGACAGAGGCCAGGCAGTTGGACCTTTACATCAGGTCCCTTTAAAATCAGGACTACGTGTGCACAAAGAGAAATGGGGAGCCACAGTCTGCATGCTGGGGAGGATGCCAGGGACACTCTGTAGGAGTAATGATGATACTCATAATGCCTGCAAAACACCAGGCCTAACAAACCGCCCCACTGGCCCTCACGGCTCAGAGGTCAGCCACTGAGCCAGGAAATGCCAGAACTGAGGTCTCCAACCCACTCAGCTTGACCCCAAAGCTAATAGCTATGACCCTTGAACCTTCTCCCAAAGTTACTCCCCAAAGAGCAGCCCCAAATATGGTGGCCTCCACCTTTCAAGTTCTGAAAAGACACAGTGGGGACCTTTTCCACATTTCCAGAAAGTTAAGAGGACAGAAGAGGCTCCATCTCACAATTTTCTACACATTTAGTATTATGTTTTTGAAACATCAAGACCTGTTTTCTGCTGGCAAAGGTATTCCCAGGTCTGAATAGGACTGAGGTTATCTTCTACTCCATGGTGGGGGTGGGGAGAGCAGGTCTGAGAACCATGATTAACAAATTATTATGAAGTGATTAAGGAGCCACTGAATCTTGATAGCCAACCTATAAAATGCTATCAGAATCCACCCTATAGGATTATGCTATCATAATCCTGAGGCTCAGACGTTACATCACTTGCCCAAGGTCACACAGCATGGAAGCAGAGCAAATATCAAAACCATTTCTGGACACTCATGTATCAAGTGGGGGTCCAGGTGCTTTCTTTCATTTAACTGGCGCAGAAACCCCACAAGATGTTCTTATGCTCATTTTACAGATGTGGAAACTGAGGCTCAGAGAGGTGAAACATCGACTCAAGGTTTGAAGTTCTGCAAGCAGGATTCAGAGCCAGGTGGGGGGTCTCACAACATCCTGCCTGGCTGAGGTGGGGGTGGGGATGGGCTGGGGGCAGGGTGGAGTGAGGTGGGCCCCTTCACACCTGGCCCAGCAGCAAGGTGTTGGTTGCACCTCTCCCATACCCAACTCCAACCCATTTGGTGGGGAAATGGAGACTGCAGAGACATAGTTATCTACTTTCGCCCATCTGCTTAGCTGATGAGCGAGTGAATGTTTCTGCCAAACATTTCAGACAGCCAAGCCCCTAAACTAATGAGCCAGAAGTCAGGAGACTCGAGCCCCGGTTTCCACACTCCGAAAAAGAAATCACAGCAAGCCCAGTCCGCCCCCAGAGCTGGCAGAGAAGGCAGCGGGGACCGCGATGAGAAGGGCGGTGGCCCACGGGGACACTCACCGGTGTGGGTCCGGACGTGGCCCTGCAGCAGCCAGGGCCTGGAGAAGGCCTTCCCGCAGGTGCCACAGACGCAGGGCAGCGTGTGGCTTCGGATGTGCATCTTGAGGGCACCCAGGCTGAGGTATTCCTTGTTGCAGTACTTGCAGTTGAAGGCCTTTCGAGTCTGGGAGTCCTTGGCCACGGAGAGCCCGGCCAGCTGCGTGGGCAACTGGCCCAAGCCTGGGAAGGCAGCATAGCCCTCGGCCTCCAAGGAAGAGGCTGAGGTGGAAGAGAAGGACGAAGGAGCCGGTGAGGGGGGGCTGGGGGGCTGGGAGCCTTTCCCACTGTCCTCGTCCGACAGGGAGGTCAGCTCCACGGCCTTGGGGACCTCCTGGGGCAGAAGGGAGGCCCAGCCGATGGGCTGGGCTTGGGGTGCCAGGAGAGAGTCCCAGATGAGCGTGGGCAGAGAGGCCGTGGGGTTGAGGACCTCGGGAGGTGGGATGGCCGCCAGCAGGTGGGCCTGGTCGTAGGGCTGCTGGAAGGTAAACTCTGAGGGGAGACGGAGAAAAGGGCAGGGTCAGGCATTCGGTCGCGCAGTCAGTCAACAAACAGTAGCCTGCTGCGGGCGGGGGCCGCGGGGCCGGCACTCAGTACTTACTGGAGGAAGGAAAGGATCCCGGCCGGGGGCGGCCCGTCCTGCCCGCCCGGAGCCCCTCCTCACCCGGGCCGCCCGGCTCGCCCGCCTCGGCCTCCAGATCTTACGCGAAGGGCGCCGCCGTCCAGCCCCGACTCGGGGCACTCCCCCTGTGCCTCCCCGGCACCTCCCGGCCCGCGGGCCACCGCCGGCGCCTCCCCTTCTCAGGCGCGTGGCCCCCGCCCCACCTCCGGCCGCGCTCTCCCCCAGCGGAGCCCCCTCGCTTCCCCGCCGTCGGGGCTCGGCCGCCGCGCAGTCTCCGCACGCCAGACCCCCGCCCTCGGACAGCCCTCCCCCAACCGCCTGCATCCACCTGCCCGGGCTCCTGACGCCCCTCTGCACACTGCCCCGCGCCGGGCCCTTGGGCTCGGTTCCGGGCCCTGGACTTGGCCCCCGGGGCCCCCTCCCCCAAGGTGCCCCCCACGCGGCCTTCGCCGGTCTCCCCGAAGCCCCCGGGGTCCCTCACCCCGTCCACTCACCTGGGGAAGAGTCGTGCAGCTCGCTGTAGTTGGGCCTCCGGCGGGAGCAGGCGGACTTCCTGACGAGGAAAGAGCGCGGCATGGTGGCCGAAGCAGCCGGGGTCGCCGGGTCGCGCAGGGGTGGCGAAGTACTCCACCCGCGAGGCCGAGCCGCTGCGCTGTGAGTGGAGACGCGCCGCCAACTCCTTTAAGTACGCCAGCCTCTGGATGGGGCGGGGCCTGGTGAGACCACGCCCCTTTGTCACCTCCGCGCCAATCGAGGCGCGCCTTCGCCAGAGGCCACGCCCCGAGCAGGTGCGCCGGGGGCTGGCGGGGCTAGCGCCGCGTGGCGCTGGGGGCCGGGCGGGGGCCGCTCAGAGGTCCGGCTGCGGGCGCTGCAGCAGCGGACTGCGGGAGGGCGGGCGCCGGGAGCCCCAGGCTAGGCGGGACCCCCTTCGGGACCCCGCGCGCCCGCCAGCTCAGCGCTGCACGGTCGTCCGCCTCTGGCGCCCCCTGGCGCCGCGTACCGCGGGTCTGGGCACCTGATGTTCCGAAACCGCCTCCGCCTCGGGCACGGGGAGGGGGGCGGAAATTTCCTCGGTCAGGCTGGCGCCTCGCAAAGAGCGTGGGATTGACGAGGGACGATACACATTTCGGAGGAGGATGCGAGGAAATGAACACCTTCACGTGGCTGCTGGCAGTGTGAAATGCCACAGCCTTTTTGCAAAGCAATCTGGCATCATCTAGCAAAAGGCATCCGTTCCTTCGCTTAGCAAATGTTTACTAGCACCCGCTACGTGCCAGTCACTATTCCCGGAGCTGGGGTAACAGTCCTGAACAAAACACTCGGGGTTTCTAATGAAGGGTAGCTCGCCGTTTGGTGGGGGAGAGAGACTAAGTAAACAGGCAATAATTAAGCAAAGGGAAGTGTGCTTTGATGCGGGGGAGGCCACAGGGCACTGTGACAGTCAAGAAGCGGGTCACCTGACAGGGGGTCCGGGGCAACTTCCCAGAGGAAGTGAAGAAATACCGAGGGGAAAGGCCCGAGGTTAGAATCAGTAACTACTTCAGAGTCATTGAGAGCAGCTCCCAGGGATGGGGGTGGGGTGGGCAAGCTGGAGAGGTCAGATCTGCTGGGCCTCCAGGGCCTAGAGGAGTTTGAACTTTGCCCCAAGGACAGTGGGAGCCAAGACAGGATTTTCAGCAGAGGAGGGACCTGTTAGAGTTTGGTTGAGAAAGATCACTCTGGGCAGGTGGGAGAAAGAAGTAGGAAAGGGAGGGGCTGAGGTGGGTCTTCTCACCTGTCTGGGCGTCATGAATCCTGCGTCTAAAATACCTAACTCCAGGGGCGCCTGGGTGGCTCAGTCGTTAGGCGTCTGCCTTCTGCTCAGGTCAGGATCCCGGGGTCCAGGGATGGAGACCCACATCGGGCTCTCTGATCAGCAGGGGGCCTGCTTCTCCCTCTCCCACTCCCCCTGCTTGTGTTCCCTCTCTCACTGTGTCTCTGTCAAACAAATAAATAAAATCTTAAAAAAAATAAAGTACCTAACTCCAGGCTCCACAGTGTGGGGGCGGGGCACTGACTGATCAAATGTGGGGTGGGCCCAGGGGAGGGACAGCTGGAGCCTCACCCTCAGCTCTGCTGTGAGCCAACCCACTCCAGACAGGGCCATGCCAGGCCTGGAGTTAGGGTGGGGGGCACAGAAATAAATCCACAGGTTCCCCCCCCCCCCCAGCTTGTTTCCATCTGTGAAGCAAGGACTATGAAAACCTGTAGGCCCCTACTCACCACCTAGAATGTGGGCATGGACAACTGTCTGTTTGCGTCATTAACTTGTGTTCTAGTTGGTGAGTAGAAGGTAAGATGGGGGGAGGCGGGCCATATGCAGTCACTATGAAGACACACCCCCCTCCTGTGTCTATTTAGTTCCAAAATGTCGTGATTCTCCACTCGAAGCCAGAGGGAGGAGTAGCACTGTGTCTCTCTGCTCAAACCCTCCTATGTTCCTGTCTCACCCAGATTAAAAGCCAAAGTCCTCACCACAGCCCTCCACCCAGCTGATCTGACCTATGCTGACCTTGTCTTGAGCCACTCTCCCCACTCTCCAGGCACAATGATCGCCCACCACACATCTTTGTGTTCTTCCACATCCCAGCCCTTTTCCACCACAGGACCTTGGCACCTGCCAGCCATCACTGCCCCCCCCCCCCAATCCCTCTTCCCCCAGATCTTCACCTGGCTGGCTCCTTTTCAGTCTGTTTCATCATTTTCACCAAATGCCTCATTAGTAATGAGAGAAATGTAAATTAAACCACAGCAAGATACGATTTCACACCCATCAAAAGAAAAAAAAAGCTAAAATTTGGTCAATATCAAGTGTTGATGAGGGTGTAAGGGCATCAGGACTTTTGTCCCATGCTGAGGAGAGTGTCAATGGGCACAACCACTTTGAAAAAGTTTGGCATCAGCTAGCAACAGGTGACTCTCCTCCCAGCACTCTACTTCTAGGCCAATCTATTCGAAGGGGTTCTCAGCCCAGACCGCATATTATATTCTTCTAGGGAACACCCAAGCCTGGGCCCCACCTCCACAGACATCCTGATTTAATTAGTCTGGGTACGGGTGGGGGCGGTCTCCGGTATTAGCATTTTTTAAAACTCACCAGGTGATTCTAGTGAGCCATCAAAGCTGAGAACTGCTGCCCAGCCCTAAACTCAGAAGAAACAAGAGAATATTCACCGAACCCTTGTTCCTAATAGCAAAAACTTGGAAACGACCCAAATGTTTATCAACAGTATCATGGATTAACGATCCATGGTACAATCCCATAATGTAAGAGTAAATCCTATCTCCTGGAGATGCCGATAGGTAGAGTCCAGGGGCCGCGAGTGCTCAGACACCATGGCCTGGGCCTCCGGCTTTCCATTTTCCTCAGTTGGTCGGGCACCTGCGCCTGGGAGGGAGTACAGAGCGGGAGGACCCTTTCTCAGATCTGGGCTGTCCCCTCCTTTCTGATTGAATTGCCCCCGCCCTCGTTCCCCTGCCTCCTGGAAGCGGCGGAGACCGCGAGGTGGGGGGAAGCGGGCTTCGAACGAGGCTCCGAACGAGGCTCCGGGGCCACAGACCATTTCTCCGAGGTGCTGCCCCTAGGCTGCGTAGCGGGGTGGGGTGGAGGGGGGAAGGCGACACTTCAGATGCAGTGGTGTCAGGTCCTCCCGGAAGTGGGCGGCCTCTGCGATGGAGCCGCGGGAAAGGCGACCGCTCCCCGCCCCACGCCCCGGGGCGCGGTCCTCGGGCGCCCTCTGCTGGCCGAGGCGCTCCCTGAGACCGCTTCTGGGCCGCCCCGTGCGGGGCTGGGCACACACGCCGGTAAGGGGGTGAAAACTGGTGCACCTGCCCTGGAGAACAGTTTGGGACTATGTCATGTGACCAGGAATGGCCTCTGAGAGGAAGATAAATTTGAACACAGGCCTGCATTTTCCACAGGTGTCCATCCCCCAACTAAAAGTAAAAACAATAGAAGCGCCTGGGTGGGTCAGCGGGTTAAGCGTCTGCCTTTGGCTCAGGTCATGATGGGGGGGTGGTCAGGGGATCGAGACCCGAAGACGGGCTCCCTGCTCAGTGGGGAGCCTGCTTCTCCCTCTCTCTCCTTTTGCCCTCCCCCCGCCCAGCTCATGCTTGCTCTCTCTCAAGCGCGCTCTCTCTCAAATAAATCTTAAGAAAAATAAAAAGTAAAAACAATAACTAAAAATGTGACTGACAACCATCCAAAGCAGAAAGTCTCCATCCCAGATATCCTCCCCAAAGGCAACTATTTTTACCAGTGTCTTTTATGACCTTCCAGAGATGGTCTTTATAGAAACAAGGCATGTACATATTAATATATATTATTTATATTATAATTATATATTTATTTATATATTAATATATATTATATAAATATGTACATGCCTCCTTTATGTACCACAAATGGGAGCCCGCATGCTAGCCTACACTTTGCCTACACTTTGCTTTTTCCTTCCAAGTAACAATATTCAGCGTCTTGACAATTATTCCGTATCATTACACGCAGCTTCCTTAATCTTTTGCAGGACTACAGACTCTTCCACTGTATGAATTATACCACAATCACTCAATTTATCTAACAAGAGGACTCATGCTGAGCCTTCAGGTTAGATTACAATTTTTTTGCTACTATAAACAAGGTGGCAATTTCAATGAATATCTTGTACACACATCTTTGCACTCTGCGTCAAAGATATGTTATATAAAATGTTGATACATTTGTCCAAATGTCCTCCCAAAAGGTTAAAATAAATTATACTTCCACCAGCAGGGTGGTGAGGGCCCTTTTGTAAAACCTGGCCCAGGAAGGGTATTGTCTGACTTTTTTATCTTTGCCCATCTGATAAGGGAAAGTGAGACCTCCTAGTCACAATGTGCATTTCACATGAATGGGGTGGAGCGTTTTTTACACGCTCCAAAGCCATTTCTGTTTCTCCATATTCCAAACTATCCCTTCATGTCCTTTGGTCACAGAGTTGATGAATTTGTTAGTTGCTAAGAGCTCTTTGTATATTAAGCCAACTGGCCCCTGTTGATTAGATCATTAATCAGTGAGCAAATCAATCAAGGAGTTAATCTTGACCAGGAAGAAGACATTGTCTATAGAAAGTTCAAGGAATGAGTCAAGGCTCAATCTCCACCCTTATCCTTCCTTGATTTAAAAAACAAAACCTCTTGAGTGTCTCGCACTTGCCTGAAAGCAATGATTCAGCCTTGGGCCTGACCCCATAGGCCCTCTGAAGGAGTCAAAAGTCACCATCCCTGGATATAAATGGCTTTCAAGGGAGTTTTTGGGTCCAAGTCTATTGTGTGTGGCCCAGAGTTGGGGACTCCAAGAAAAGATGCGCAAACCCTTTTCATTCCAATCTGCTGAGCACTTGCTGTGTGCCTGGTCTGCGCAGGAGCCTCATTCATATGGGCATCTTTCTAGCACCCCAAGGTGGTATTCGATGCTCCTACACTCAGGCCAAGGCCCACCTAGAGACCAGTTAATGCATTACAGTGCAATCATATTACACACCTGTCAAAAAGGAGAAAGCTCTACATGTAATGGATTCAAGGTACAGGTACAGAACAGCAAAAGCACAATTTGCCTATAAAGAGGGAGAAATAGGGCGCCTGGGTGGCTCAGTCGGTTAAGCGACTGTCTTCAGCTCAGGTCATGATCCCAGGGTCCTGGGATCGAGTCCCGCATCGAGCTCCCTGCTCTGCGGGGAGCCTGCTTCTCCCTCTCCCACTCCCCCTGCTTGTGTTCCCTCTCTCGCTGTGTCTCTCTCTGTCAAATAAATAAATAAAATCTTTAAAAAAAGAGGGAGAAATATATAGGTATTTCTTAGAGACACAGAAACCACCTCTGGAGGGAGACACTGGAAACTGGTAATAGTGGTTGTCTCTGAGGAGGGGATCTGGGTGGCTGCCAGGCAGGGGTGGGAGGGAGAGGCTTTGCTACATGCCCCATCCCATGTCTGAATTTTTTTTATCATGTGTAAGTATTAGCCTCATTAATTTTAATAGGGTAGCAAAAGTTGCTCATCATAGAAGACTTGCTAAGTACCTAACAGTCCAATCAATGGAATATTTTACAGCTGTCAAAATGTCAAAGCCTACCTGTGTACATAAACCCTCCTCGGCTCCCATCTCTCTAATAGAAAAAGCCACT